CTGTAGGAGGTCAGGGCCTGGAACCACAGTTTGACAATGACAATTAGACTAGACCATGTGGTCCACGTGGACCACGTGGACCACATGGACCAGTGTAGACCACGTGGACCACATGGACCAGTGTAGACCACGTGGACCACATGGACCAGTGTAGACCACGTGGACCACATGGACCAGTGTAGACCACGTGGACCACATGGACCAGTGTAGACCACGTGGACCACATGGACCAGTGCAGACCACGTGGACCACATGGACTAGAGTCACAGATAAAAACAGGTGAGAAACACTGACACCTAGCTGCTGTTGTTGGTACTGTGGTAATGTGGTTAATCAGTTTGATCGACAGGAACCATTTTTAGCACCAAGAACTGATGACATGAAGAGAGAACTGTTGGAGGAACTGTTTCAGAAAAATCGGTTCTGAGAAGAACATGAAGAAAAGTGTCCCACATTAGACACAAACAGGAATCTGTGTGTGTGTGTGTGTGTGTGTGTGTGTGTTTCCACGTTCATGTTCTGACAGGATCTGCTGAATCCTGGTATGTGGAGGAGGAACATGTTGGTCTCAGGGTCCTGGGCCCACAGTCCTGGTCTGGTGGTCTGGGTCCTGACCCATGGGCCGTGTCTCAGTTCTGGGTCCAGTGTTGAACTCAGTCTAGTCCTCGGGGGGACACGTGAGACTCACCAGAATTTTGTTCTCCACCTTGTCACCTTTGACCTCGACCTGGACCCTGTGCCTCAGGTTTATTTTGACCTTGTGACCCACGGCCTCCCGTACACTCTCTGTAACAGACACACAGGGGGCGGAGCTTATCACAGATGCCTCTGACCGTGACATGTTTGATGGGGGGGTGACACGACCCCCCCATCCCCCCCCCACTGTAATGTGCTACAGCTAATGGTGCCTTCAAGTCTGGGACAAACGTCGGAATTTCTAGTCTTGAACTGAAGCACAGACAAAAATATATAAATATATAAATATATATATGTACACGATGTGGATCTGGATCAGGATCAGGATCAGGATC